TAGCTTTCAGTTAAATATTATACCTAAGAGCTTTCAAACATTTGAAATCGGAATTAGACTATACCTCAAATAGAGTTCAGAGTCTGGATATAGATACCTTCAACGATAAAATTATATATAGTCGATAATTAGGTTTGAAAATTTGAATCCATTGCATTCTGCCCACTAAGTAATTTTATTTGATGTTATTTGTAGCTTGTCTCTCGATACAACACATGTCTGCGTCTCGATAGCTTATTTGCAAGTCATCAACATATAATGTTGCACTGATGGTATAAGAACGTTCCTTGAAAAAAGAGATTTTTCTAAGCTGGAAACACTAAGATTACATAGCCTTGGGACACAACCTCTTCTTGAACAAATGCATTTAAAATGAAGAACCAATCTGAACTTGAAAATGGCTGTCCGTTAAAAATTTTTGTACAAAGATTGGTACATGACCATGTAAATTGCACTCAGGGAGATCTTGCAGTCCATACCTCCATGTTCTATGGTAACTTTTTCCGTATAAAAAGATGGCAACCAAGTGGTTACAACTGTCGTTCGAAATGCTGTTTCTACTAACGGAAGGATATATGTTGTAGATCTGTCTTTTCGACATCCATTTTTACATAGTAACAGAAAGTCATTTTCTCTAAAAAATGGATTAAGCTGAATTACCATTTTTTAAAAATCTTACACATATCACAGGTCAATGCAAAAAGACGATAGTTATAGGGATTCTTTAGCTCTCTTCTTGGATTTGGCACAACATTCCGCCAAGCACCTGAAAAGATTTACATCTTCCATAATCTATTACATCTTCCATAATCTATTACATGCTTCGGAAGTGCTGCCAGTGTCTTACTGGGAATATGCTTTATCATTTCCTGTCTTATGTCATCTAGACTAGGTCTTGTGCTGCTTGTCTTCGTCAATGCTCTTTCTAATTCAAGTATAGTAAAGTCATCACAGTGTTTTACAGGTGCGAGAAACGAATGCATTTGGATTTTCTCCAATTTTACAGCTTGCAACATAGAAATGCAGAAGATAATTACTGCTACTAGAAACACCAAAAAAGATTTATTGATGGCATTTGTAATTTTGTAGAGACATTAGGTATTTTTAGAAGCAGGCAAGATGAAAAATTAGCAACGCCTTCGCCGGGAATCGAGCCACGGACTTCTGAAATACCGGCTCAGTTTGCTGACCACTACACCACGAAGGCACACTAGGAAGGTGCGAGAAATACCTTATACACTCCCCCTTTTAAAATGCGACTGGGGTTTTTAGGGGACCCAATCGCCCAATTCCCGGTGCGGAGAATCATCATCCAACACCCTTTTAGTTCGGGCGCCACTGTAGAGACATTAGGTATTTTTGGAAGCAGGCAAGATGAAAAACTAGCAAAGTCTTTGCCGAGAATCGAACCACGGACCTCTGAAATACCAGCTTAGTGTGCTGACAACTACACCACGAAGGCACGCTAGGAAGCTTGGAGAAATACCTTATAATTTCTTCTCCGCTGCTGATAATTAAACTATCTTTTTCCAATACGCAAAGTGAAAGTCTCAATAAAAATCCAAAGCTTTATGAATTACTTCCCACATTCGTTTGCTAGACTTAAGAGGAAGTATCGAAGAGACACAAGATATCCATGAATCTCCATATTTTTTCTATCTTTTTGCCCTGGCTCTTTTGAATTCGAGGAAACTAGATAAGGTTGAGTGCAGTCTGGAAATTCCCCAGACGTTTCCTTGCTCACTTGGATTTCGCGACATTTAGTTCCACTGTGACTTCGAAACCTCAGAACAGGAATTTCAGCTGCTTGGATAATTATATTAGTAACAACATTGGCAGCTTCATCAAAAGGTAAACTGTTCGATTTCTGTTCTGCGAACAATGCATAAGCATAAACTGCTTTCCAATCGTTCGATCAAAACCCAGTCTGGGAACTCTTTGAAGAATTCCTGTTTCATCTGGAGCAAAAACCTAAATGGATGGGGAAATGATCACTGGTAAAAGAATCATTTCTAATGAAAAAGGAAAGAAAAAAAAAAGAATCATTTTAATGATAAAGGAAAGAATTGCCACCCAAACTATGAACTTTGTGTTAAAACGCTGGCCGTCCTGGAATCTTGGAATACCATTTTTCTAGCAGAACACACATACTGGCACAAGTTCTTCCTCAGAAACTGAAAGATCTAATTTAGATATGACACCTCCAGTAAAAGTCAGGATATTGTATACTAAAACCTTTATACTTATTTCTCGCATTTTAACATTTCCATAAACTTTATCCATAAACCAGAAAGATTGATTAGCAGAATACATTTCAATGAGTAAATCATCGGAAAGAATTTGAAACACTTATGGATTAAGAACTGGGATATTTTCGAAACGTTTAGCGACGAATTGGAAACTAAAAGATTTCTAGGACTCTGGCAGGGTATCACATTACTTACGGTTCCACAACAGACAAAAGAGAAATATTCAGATACTAGCCGCACTATCCACCACGGAGCCCAACAAGTCCATACAAATGTCATCGGTGCAAGCCAGATGTATACGGTCTTAGAACAGTCCTAAGACTGCCATAACCCTTAACATGATGCTTTGATTGCTTAGCCCCAAGCCAAAGGTCTGACAGCCAGTTGATATATATGAAATGGGTTTATCCCATTTCAACTAATAAGCTGCCAAAGTGCTGTGTTGGAAACAACAACCTCGTCTTTCAACAATTAGGTTCCTCCTTTACAAGCTTACTGGTCTCCACGCACGGCAAAAACATGGGTAGTTTTCACGCTTTGGGAAGGCTGAAGTAGTGACTGTTTAATAGCGGCTATCTACAAGCAACAACGTGACAGAATACCGATGTTATTTTCTATAGGCAGGAGAGGTAGACGGCAGTGTTTGAAATCGCAAGATACGTATAATTGGCTACTACAAGCCTGAAATCTCGTTTTACCGTAATCAAGGGTATTGCTGCCGGATGATTTGTTTACTCGGACAGTAACACGGCCATTGAAACGTACTCATCGGAAACGAGTTTTCTGTAATATACAACGTGGAAAGTTCAGCAATGGCGCAGAGTGCTCTTTACCGACGAGAGCTCATCGAATCTCACTAAGGATTTAAAATGTCTGAACATTTGAAGAGAATGGTAACACGCCCCCAAACATCGTCAAATGTGGTCACAGATTTGAAGGCGGTAGAGTTTTTATTTGAAAACGCATAATGCTTGCTGACTTTATGGAGGTCTATCTGTTGTAAGAAGCGTTAAAACATTGATGAGTGTTATAGTACTGAGGATCATCTTCTTCACACGTGCGTCCCTTCTGGGCTGCTGCCTGAGTTCTCTTCATCCACGACAAGGCTACATCTCATTTTACCTTCCATACAAAAGGAGACGGCTTTCTGTACGCAGAACCTACTTCTGAATAAAATCTTTGGCCTAATTTGAATTCCTCTCATGGTCAGCATTCACGGCATGGGCAATAGAAAAAAAAAATGATTTTTCATGCACGAAAAATTTTCATTTTTACCTTCTGTGCCTTTAATACTCCAGTTTACCCAGTGCCTTTAACGCCTTTAATACCTCAGTTTTACACATATTTTTGGAGTGTAGGGAGTCTCTCAATTTAAATATTAATTTTGCTAATATCCTAAAATTTCAATTTCGGGTTTTTGAAACTTTTTCTCCCTAAAAGTGTATTTTGGAATAATATATCTGTCTGTTTTAATTCTAACTTGCCAACATTTCGCTGCAGCTATGAATTTTTCTAACTTTGAGATTTATTTCATTATGACTAAAATACAAAGAATAACATACTCAAGTCTGCGTTATAATTTTAAGAATGATTGGAATTTGTCGAACTGCTAAAAATAAATCAGCTTCTTTAACAGAGAAACTTTATGATTTTTAGGTTACATATAATCTGTATTTTTAGTTTTATGAAAGTTATAATCATAATACCTTTATAGGATCAGCTGTGATTTAATGAATAAAATGTAAAAGATCGTATTTCGTTTAATATAATGAAAGTAAATAAAAATCTAATAGCTGATTTCTTTTATTAAGATCTTAAAATATTAAAGCTGTTTGGAAATAATTTCATTAATGATTATTTCGAAACATTTATCGTGCACTATAATTAATATTTAAAAACCAGCAATGAAAAACGAGGTCATCTGTTGTAACAGTATCGAATAAAATGTGCGGCAACAATTAAGGAATTATGTATTAAGTGCATTCTGAAAATTAGGGTGAGATGTTTTTCTTGACCTACCGGTTCTTATAATTAAAACACAATAACACACCGAATAAACGCTAATTCAGAAGTCAAACAACAAAAATCAGCGTTATATTTTCAAAATTTTCACAGGACTAGTTTCGATGGTTTCGATGGAACCACCATCCTCAGCTGCAAAACCGCAAATGAACAAGATAGGAAATAATGATTAGATAAGATAAGAAAGCCTGGACAAGAATAAGCAAGTGGCGCCATCTGTTGGTGAAACCAGAACTAAAACATAATTTCCTTGAAGGCTGAAGGCAAAGATGGATTGGAATTAGGATCGTTAACTAGAACAGAAAGATTTTTTTTAATGTGAAAAGATTTGTTGAATGTGAAAAGAATGTTTTTTGAATGTTTCACATTCAAAAAAATCTTTCTGTTCTAGTTAACGATCCTAATTCCAATCCATCTTTGCCTTCGGCCTTTAAAGAAATTATATTTTAGTTCTGGTTTCACCAACAGATGGCGCCACTTGCTTATTCATGTCCAGGCTTTCTTATCTTATCTAATCATTATTTCCTATCTTGTTCATTTGCGGTTTTGTAGCTGAGGATGGTGGTTCGGTAAAACCATCGAAACTAGTCCTGTGAAAATTTTGAAAATATAACGCTGATTTTTGTTGTTTGACTTCTGAATTACTACCGGTTCTTATTCCCGTGAATGCATTTAATATTAATGAAGTAATTTAATTAAATCTCAATAATTCTTTTTGTTACTTTTCAGATAACCTAACAGAGAAGAACAAGAAATCCTCCATTGAGCAGAAACGATTCTACCAGAGAAAACTCTCAGGATTCACAGCAATCAAATTTCTTCCAGTTGGACGACTGTTCAAATTTCTTAAGCCTCCTCTCCAAAGAAGGAATTCTTGTCCGGTACTTAGCATTTCAGAAGCAAAAACTGAATTTACTTTGCCCAATAAACCAAACCTTGGAAAAGAATCAGATATCAGCAGTTCCAAAGTAGACACAAAAGATATTAAAAGAGAAAATAACAAAAGTTGTAGGCTCACGAAATGGACATCACATGGTGAACTTCCACGACTGGAAGGAAAGCCTAATAATATTGCGGAAAAAGTAGGACATGCAAACAAAGCTGCAGGATCATCGTTCCATACTGATGGCAGTAATGAAATTTCTAATAAAGACTTACCACTTTTAATTCACGATTTATCTCACCAGTTATCACAAAATGTTGAATGTAAAGCAACAGAGGACAGTTCAATACAAACATCTGAAAATAGCAGCCAAAAAATATTTTCTGATAAGGTAATAGGAAATAAAAAGACAGAGTCGACGGTCGTAGAAAAAACAGTAATAATTGTTTCTGAAAGTGAAAGTTCAAGTGAAATAAATAATCCTTTCCGTGAAACAAAAAATACGTCAGGAAACGTTGATGTGCTTCAAGGTGTCACAATCTCTATGAATAGTTCGGTTTCAAAATTTAAGACGCAGAAATGCATAGAATGGGAAACTAACCAAGAAAATTTAAGCACTAATAAAATCCTCAATTCACAGAGGCAGTCTCAGAAATCAGAGCTAACTAATAGCGTTAAAGTAATAACTACAGAGCGGGATATTTCGTTCCCTGAAAATCAAGATAAAGAAATAAGAGCAATAGACGATGCGGAACAACAGCGCGAATCTCTGGAAACGCTATGCACAAAGCACCTAAATACAACAGATGAGGAAATAAACGTTGACAGTGAAAAAAAGACTTCCATAAAATTACAAGTTTGTAATCCAGAAACAAATTATTCGAATTCGCCAATTGATCATGTATCACAAAACAAAAAGAATGAAAACAACGCGCTGAAAGACGTGGATATCAGTAATGATAATATTGATGAATATATTGGGAGAAACAAAATACATACTTCTACTGATAACTTTCAAATTAACACATTTTACCCAGGAACAAATGCTCAGAATAAGCTAGTTAATGAATCTCATATAGTTTCAGAGAAAATTAAAGCAAGCACTATTATTCTGAACGGTAAATGTTCGGTTGAAAATGGATATCTTGATTTAAAATTCGGAACAGCTTTAAATCATCGCACATCTTATATCCAAGATGAAGATGCTAATCTGAGAAACTCTGGCATAACAACAAATTTCATTAATAGCAAAGCAACTACAGAAATATCTGAGAAAAACTTGAGCAATGTACATTCCTTTCCTAATAACTCAATAAATCTTATCTCCGATAGAAGCACAACTACTGTTAATGAAGCTATAGAATTTCAGGAAAGAGTAAATAAATTACAAAATGATTTCTTTGTAAATAGATATGAGACAGTAAATGATATAATTACAAGCTGCAATGATGATTATGTTCACAAGAGTTTGAATCAAAGAGACAACTCAAAATCAGCAGTTTGCAGTACAGTAAAGGTTTTAGCACAGGAAGAATATGACTCTGTAAAACTTAAAGAGCTTCGAATTCATAAGCCTCAGTTAATAGGTATAGTCTGCAACCAAACGGCGAACAAAACCGCAATTCATTCAAATAAAAAAAACAGAGGCCAAACCTCAGAAATAAGGATAAGTGTTCTGAATGATGTACGTGTTCAGAGTGACATTCTAGACTTTGGAGAATGTTCGGCAAATACTTCTACTATTGATTTACAAGAAAATGATATAAATGAGTGTTACAATGTAAAACTAGATGCTCCAGAAGAAGTGATAGTAGCTGGTTTCCATGATTTTTGCCACACGATGCTTTCTCTAGAAGAAAGCATCGAAATGCAAGACACGCGAACTTTGTTAAAAAATAGCAAACAGTTAGAAACAAGCATTGAAGTAAATACAACAAAGACAAGGAAAGAAGTTATGGGTTCTGCCCATAGTATCAAACAACAATCAGAAATCACAAACCTAACAAGATCCGTTACGGAACTACATGTTTCCGCACAGAACTACAGCACATCTCAGTATTGCTCAGAAATTACCGAAAATACGTCTAACAAGTTTGAAGAAGATAATCAGAACAATAAACTTCTAGACAAAATGAATATCAAAGATCCCGATGTGATTGATGCAATAACAGTATTAGATAAATCACTGATGGAAGTATCGGAACAAACTCCAATTTTATTTAGAGAATCAGAAATGAACACCAACGCTACGAACATTAAGCAAGAAGCAAGTGAAATAAACAATATTTCAAAAATTATCAAAGAAGACAAAATACAATGTGATAATCTAATAGAAGAGCTTATGTTAGAAGACAGTAAGAGAGTGTCAAGAGATCCTACAAGCCATCCTTCATCTCCAGCAGGAAGAATAGCTGTCACAATATCTAACATGAGTTCCCAAAGGTTCTTTGATTACGAACTGGATCAAACCGTGAAACTAGGAAAAAAAGAACTAACTTATCAACAAAATGTTGAAAGCCATAATGCAAGAAACGATGTCATAAATGAAGTAAATTATAGTTCTCTGAAAGTAAATAAGCTAACTAAGGAAGAAATTAAAACTTTCAATAGGACGTCTACAAATACAAATGAACTTTCAAATTTCGATGCGCCAGATAATGAAATAAAAAGAGTCAGTGAAATGTCCTCTGCCAAAGATGATTCTTTATCACTCCCTGCATCAATTACATCAGGTAAGATTTTTAATAATTTAGCTTGGATTGCAGCTTAGTTTTATTTTTAGAATAATATGTATGATTTACATTTCTTCGATATTTTTAGAAGACACGAATCCGGGTTTCACACTGCAAGTATCAGAAGAGAATAATCCTGCACATTGCATACAGGACGTCGTTGCTTGCAACCGAACAAGTCCGTGCTCTGTAGATTCTGGAACAAGTTCGCATAATCAAGGATATTTTGTTGTGGTTGCAATAGATTTTGGAACTACTTATTCTGGCTATGCTTTCAGCTTTACCCGAGATCCAGACAATATTCATATGATGAAGAAGTGGGATGGTAAGTTTCAAAATACAAAGATGCTCAGTTCATATAACAAAAAGCATCTCAAGATTTTATTATTTTTATATCCACTTTGTGGTGGATTTTTATATCCACTTATCGCTATTTACAGCAATGTCCCTTTTAAGGAATATACTTTACTGTACCTTTTAAGAAATCTACATTTATAAAATAACTGCGTTATTTGCATTGTAGAGACATTTAGGTATTTTTTGGAAGCAGGCAAGATGACAAATGAGCAATCGCCTTCGCCGGGAATCGAACTACGGACCTCTGGAATACCGGCCCAGCGTGCAGAACCACTACACCACGAAGGCACGCCAGGAAAGTGGGAGAAATTCATTATAACATACTTCTCCATAAATAACACACAAAGTAGGCATATCGATTTTCTCTCAGGGCTAAGTCTTTCTGTCAAAATTCTAAGCAAACAATTTTATGCAGAATGTCAGGAAAAGGTAACTATAGGTTTTGTTTCCTTAAATTTTGACCCTATGCATGTCTTTTCATTTGTAGACGTTCTAAAAATAAGGCAGACAATTTTATGAAACAGCCTGTAACACATTTTTTAGAAAAGGCTCCTTTCATATGAAATCTAACTTCTCACGAAATAACGAAGAGCAAAAATTCCAATTAAAAAATACATAAAGTAAAATATTCATTATTTTTTAGCGACATTAACGCAAAAAGATTCCATACCTCTGAGTGCAAAATTCGCAGAGTTATATATAAATAATATTTTGATGGAACAGGCTACAAAGTTACTGACAAGACTTTTTGTTTTACCCCATGCACAACCTTTGGTTGGCAAAACGGACAACATCTCTTTTGGATTCCCAAATTTGACAGAAATTTTAGGCAAAATTTTAGGAAATTTACTAACTATGCTTGTTTTACCCCATAGGACATCTACAAATACAAATGAACGTCCTTTCAATTTTTCGTCCTTTAGTTGCCAAAACGGACAACGTCTCTTTTGAATTCCCAAATTTGATCGAAATTTTAAAAAATTCTGACCTTCAGTAAAAAATACGCACTGAATAGATTCATTTTAGTACGACCTTTCATTTAGTACCTATTCATTTAGTACGACCGACCAAATTTTATACATAGTGATACTGAGCCTTTGACATTTAATTTACATAGTGAATAATTTAGAATATGGCATTTTTGCTTCGTTGGGACTACAAAAAAGATAATAGATTTTATGGTTACAAATCCCTCCCCCAAGTGTTAAAAGTTTTTCCATGATTTTTTTACTTTATTTTGAGAAACTTCGTAGTTAGAATTACATATTTAGGATCAGTATCACCGATTAAAAAAATAAAATCTGTAACCAACTTTTATCGAAAACCCTGTCAATAGTATTTCACAGAATTCGACAAATTGACTTCTGTGCTAATGAAAAATTCAATAAGATCGTTATTAACGAAAATGTTTTCTAAAAACGAATCATAATTGCTTATTTTGCATTAAAGCTTCTAAAAGTAGTTTATACGTAGAAAAGTTAATAAATCATACCCAACTGATGTACGTTCTAGTTCCCTTTGCAGTAATTTTCCTTTAACCAGATTAATTAGGTATAAATATGAGATTTACCACTTTAATATTAGAGTGAGGCTTTTTTTTAAATATATCAAATATTATATTGTAAATCTAAACTCTATTTTCATTCAGGAGGAGATCCTGGAGTTTTTAATCAAAAAACTCCCACAACTTTGCTCTTGTCACCAGAAGGGACATTTCACTCCTATGGTTATTCAGCACGTGACTATTATCATGATTTAGATGAAGAGGAAGCTAAAGGATGGTTATATTTTGAAAAATTCAAAATGACTTTGCATAACAATGAGGTATGTTGATATTTACATATTTTTGTCCGAATATTTTATACATTTATTACGTACAGTTTACAGAATTCTCTTTGTATTTTATGTAATACGTAAGTAAATATAAATTTTTAAATGCTTGAATAATTATTCTGCACTCCACAACTCTGCTACACTACAATGCTGAAATTATATATGAAGAAACATAAGAACTCATTTTTAAATACGTTAGCATTTAATCTGCATAACATAAATTTACAATATCATGATCCTAAGATATAAGTGAGAATCCACTAAGAACAAGAATCTCTTTATCTTAATTACATTGTATGATTCTTTAATGTTCCAATACATGTAAAAGGCAAACTGTGCAATTTTTTAAATATTACACTTTTGAAACAAATGCTTTGGAGCTCTTTAAACAAAACGGATATGCATTTTATTCAATGTTTTTCACACAGCATTGAATAAAGTGAACGGATTTTTACAAGTGACTTTTGCTTAAACTAAAATACGTTATGTATTATTAACTGTTATTTTTTTTTCTTTTGTCTTTAAAGCATTTAAGTCTCGACACCAAAATCACTGCTGCAAATGGGAAGAGCATACCTGCAGTTACAGTATTTTCTCATGCTCTTCGATATTTCAAGGATCATGCTTTACAAGAGCTCAGTGAACAGTCTGCAACTCGAATTCTCAACGAAGATGTGAGATGGGTTGTAACTGTTCCTGCAATTTGGAAACAACCTGCAAAACAGTTCATGAGGGCAGCTGCTTATGAAGTAAGTTTGAATATAAACTTATTGGAAACGAATGCCATTCAGAGTTTTGTAATGTTAGAGGAAAATACACATAATATTTAACCGGTTAAAATTTTTAAAAACTGCACTTTCTCTTTTGGATTTCTCTGTGGAAGTAGGATCATATAATTTTTCTTATAAAATGAATGACAAAGTTTTCCATAACTAGGCAGGTATTGCAAGTCCGGATTTTCCTGATCAGTTACTCATTGCTTTAGAACCAGAAGCAGCTTCCATTTATTGCAGAAGAATGAAACTCCATCAACTGGTTCCGGAAGAAACGCATTTTCAAAGATCATCATTACATTGGCAGAAAGATAGAGATACAGAATCAGAAGCTGGCTCTACAATTAGCGACAAAGGTACAATTTTAGATAAACCTTATTTATAAAAACATTCGATTTCTTCAAATTATGATATACTTCACATTATTTCAGAAATTAACATTTTTCTGTAAAAAACTTTCAGAATTATTTTAATAACAAAAACTGAAGCTAGATAACCTATTTTTCTATTTTTCCACTGGCATCTAAATTTAGGCTAAATCATATACTATTAACTTCTCTTATAATATAAATTTTTCAATTTGTTTTAAAAGCGCAGAAAAAAAAACTAATGACTAGGGGGTTACAGTTTAAATTATAGGGTTGCACTTGATCTGGCAATGCTCAATTTAGTCCTATAACCCTAACAGACGCGCCGCCTAGACGGTATAGTGATTAGGGGAGCGGACTGCGATACCGAAGTGCCTGGGTTCGAATCCCGGAGAAGGTTATGGATGTAAATTGTCTGTCCTCTCATAGGAGGTAACAGTGGCCGTCTATAATAATAATATTAGGTGCCTCCATAATAAAATGACCACCACTTCTGGCTTTAATTACTTCTTCGTTGTCTGAAAACAACGATGAAGTATTGAGAATTTAAAACAGCTTTTATATTTAAGCAGACTTTAGAACTTTAATTAGAATCAGGCTTAGTGAGAATTAAAGAATTAAAGTGTTGACAGCGAGAAAGCCCGAAGCCAAATAATTACAACCACGGTGAGGAATACGGAAAAGAGAAGTTACAGTAAAGACTGAAATTATAAATAACAAGTTAATTAACATAAGATTATCTACAAACTCACATGAAGATGATAAGTTCTCATTAACTTAAACTTGATCACACTGAAGCTATTTAGTAATGTGTGAATAAGAAGCGGAACTTTGGATTCCTCGACTTTACAGGAACAGTCCTGAATATGAATTATTGTTTTTGGTGTGCAGGTAGGTCATAAATTTGAATCTCAATGATTTACTTCCATTTCATTCAAGCCTCTTTTAGGCATTTTACTGTTATATTGAAAGCTCCTTTTCTACACTTCCAATTAAATTACATTTGAAATTCATTACTAACCTTGATATCAAGAAATAAATTTGCAATGTAAATCATGAATGTTGATATAAGAGAGTAGCCTATATGGCGTGAAAGACGTTTTCCCCAAACAAAAGAACATAATCACTATTGGAAGAAGCAAGCCAGGTAAAGGAATATGATTCACACAGAAATTATTGTTACGGCTACACTACATTGCCTTATTACACGACTACAATTTTAAGCTAATATAAAATGTTTTTAACCAGACTTTTGCCTTATCTAACATTTCTAATGAAACTGACTTAAAATCAGAATTTGTGATACGCATTTCCATCAAATCAGGCCACAGAAAAGCGAAAGTAAAAATTCTCGACCATAAGAATGAGACAGAAGAACATCTTGGCACTTCATTATTAAAGAAATACTAACTGTTTGCCAACAAATGTTTCCAACTAGGAATACTTATAAAAATTTAATTGGATCACTGATTTTTCAAATATAAGTCAATAGTTCATTTGTTTCAATTAATACTTACAGTATAAGTTATGCAATTTCCATATGAAATTAAAAACCAGTTCCAAAATTAAAAACCTGTTTCTTAATCATGAATTTAAAAATTAAATTACAGAAAAAATACAATTTTAATAATGAATTTAAAAACCAGCTTTTTATTTCAGAAAGATCAAAAGATATGCTTAATTTTTCTTAATAAACGTCTGAGGGCACAGAAATTGTAATAACCAAAAAAGAAATCAAAAATAAATTTCATAATTATTTAATTACATTCTAGGGGTTAAATATTTAAAAAGTAATTAAATTAATTTCATTACTTGAAAGCCTAAGCTGCGAGTATATTCAAAAGGGACATGCCAAATAATTACACGGAATTTTTCCTTCGAGATTTCTATATTTGTCTGCTAAATGGTCGGTAGTGAAACTGGGGGAAAATAAAATTTGAAATGTAATTGAATCTAGCATGTAAAATGTTACGTTATTATGCATGTAAAATATTACGTCTCTCCTGTTAACTTCATAAAAATCAGACTTTGAATTGAATGAGAGATAATTGCTACATTGGACGTGTAAAGAAAAAGGGTATAAGGTTTACGTTAATTAATCTGTTATCTTATTTTTCGAACTATACAATCGCTTCTAATTTTCGAATTTAATTCACCAGGTTTTGCTAATTAAATCCTGCAAGTTGCTGAGATAATTTTTATAAACGCAAGTTGTTTGTTTAAACATTTTTCTGTGTTGATAGTTGTTCAACATACACGGGACGATAAGTCATCTGACAATCTCAGTAGGGATCAAGTAGTTTACTAAGAAAGTGCAACTCTACAAAAGTAACAGCAATAAGATTTTTTCGGCTAAAAGAACTAGTCAATGTAAAACACGAAGACGATTAGAAAACTAGTCAATATAAAACGGAAAAAGGATACACGGCTCACACACACGCTAACCTGCATTCCGTATGTTTTCGATACTTTTTCAATCATTTCGCTACGGTTTTGCAACTGAGCACCTATTTTAAAAATTTATAAATACAAATAATCCTTGAACAAGGATACAAAGAGGTTACAGAGGTAAAAAGATTTGATTTTCCATTTTCTTGAAAACCTACGCAAGGCTTTCTACTCCTCAACAATTTTTCTCACGAATTTTTCTTTGTTGTCTAGAAGCCCTAATTGGCGCTATAATTTGTGAAAAAACGTCTATTTTGTTGCATATTATGTACTATATTTTTTATAATAAAGGAGGTAATAATAAATAAAGTAAAATGTTATTTTACTTCTTTTGTCCGTAAGATGAATCACCTGTTTTAACACATATCTCCAATAGTAATAGGTCCAATAATATGCCACATCCCCAACAATATCCTACATCTTCAATAATAATCTCAAATAGTAATATTCGTAATCTCTCTGTCGTCTGACTTAAATAAGCAACTTAATCAAAGTCCATTGTCAATAAACTTGTGCCCATTTTTTTCCCCGCTATTATCGATAAAGTGCAGTTCTCATTGGGATAAGACTGAGTTGATGGCTGTGCAGTGTTAACCTTAATTATTATTATTATTATTATTATCATTCATTTAGGATAGCAATGCATACGACAGTTATTTGTCTAAGACATTTCTGCGCGACATTTACACAATGTCGAATTCTTGCTGTGCGAATATACCTTGTCTGTAGGCAAAAGGTTATCATAATATGATGATAATTCAGTGTATAATTTCATTCACAATGATGATAATTCAGTGTATAATTCAGGCATTCATAATATGCCCTACAGTTTCGCAAATTTTCCGATATTTACAGGCTATGTGATTAGTCCCAATATTTCAAACTGGCATAAATCTGTAGGAGGGGAAAATACATTTATTGAAAGTAATCAACGTTAAGTAAAGTCGCAGAATTCAAACCCGCGTTCATTGAATTAATTAATGAATTCAGTTATATTTTCAAATCTAAACTGCCCTCCTGCTGAAAAAAATAAGCAACAATGACAAAACACGGAATAAAACAAAAACTATTCAATGGATATGCGTGAAACTGATCTAAGAGTTTTGATGTGACATTACTAGACCACATTGCAAACAATAAAGCAAAGACATAAAAATATAAATGTATTACGACCATCACATCGCCAAAGACCAAATCGGTCGGAAGAATGTGCAATGCAAACATCACTCTAATAATGGAAATGATACCCTTTAGCTAAAATGCATGCTTGACAACGGCGAGGCAAGCTGTCAATAGTGTTGTTGACCGCTTGTAGTGGCAGTAGCGCCCATTCCTGTAGTATCGCATATCGGAGCTTAGGAGGGTGACTGATGGCACACTGCAATCGGCAAACCGTGGTTCTAGCATACCTCACGCATGCTTTGTGGGATTCAGATCCGGCGATCTAGCAGGACACGGCATATATGGAATGATTTCACTCTCCAGATAGTTCCACTCGAGCTCTCTGCGGGCGGTCGTTATCATCCATAAATATCGCGTCGGTATCCATTGAAGCAATAAAAAGAAGCACAAGAGTGTATAGAATTCCATCGTAACAACGGACGGCTGTGACGGAGCCACCAGGAAACCCATTGAGGTCGAAGCGGCCGTTCGTTGCTATCCAAGCCCATACAAGGAAGCCTCCTCCTCTGTAATGGGCCTTTTTCGACGAAGTTTGTTGCACAAAAGCGTGTCCCTGGCTCTTGCCATATCATTGTCCTTCGGGAATCGTTAAAAGTACGTGGTTCCACTGCTCTGGTGTCTTACTGCGATATTCACGGGCTCAATTAAACCGCGATCTGACATGCGATGGAGACAAAGGAACACAAACCATAGGTCGTCGGAGGTGCCGTCCACCTTCATGCAGTCGACGCGACACAGTTTGGCGGGATATAGACCGTCCTGCACCAGCAGAAAGATGTGACGACAGCTGTCGTGCTTTTAGTGATCTACGGCGTCTTGCACATAGCAACACCAAGCAATCATCTGCTGTTGTGGCAATCATTCAGCGTCCAGGCCCACGTCTTCTGTTGGGGTTTTGATCCCTTTGATAATGATTTCACTGCCTGTTGATGACACTACGATGCACATTCAGGTCTCTTGCAACAGCGGATTGTCTAACAGCAGCTTGCAACATACCGACAGCCCTCCAAAGCATTTCATCTTGTAGATGGTGTCTTCGGCTCATGCTTTCCGTTTTGGCTACATTGTATTAAACGAAACTCGCTGCTTGAGAACTGACACATAGGTCCGTTATGCCTTTTTTTGAGGCGTTGTGGTGTGATTGCGGGATTGTCTTTCATGCTAATCTTAGTTGCTTAGTCATTCAGCGTCCAGGCCCACGTCTTCTGTTGGGGTTTTGATCCCTTTGATAATGATTTCACTGCCTGTTGATGACACTACGATGCACATTCAGGTCTCTTGCAACAGCGGATTGTCTAGCAGCAGCTTGCAACATACCGACAGCCCTCCAAAGCATTTCATCTTGTAGATGGTGTCTTCGGCTCATGCTTTCCGTTTTGGCTACATTGTATTAAACGAAACTCGCTGCTTGAGAACTGACACATAGGTCCGTTATGCCTTTTTTTGAGGCGTTGTGGTGTGATAGCGGGATTGTCTTTCATGCTAATCTTAGTTGCTTATTTGCATTCCGCAATGCAACCTCTACCTCATATGTAAATTGCATATTTTATTTGCGCCTTTTTACATTTATCCCATTTCTTTTAGCGTTTGCTGCTTATTTTTTTAGCAAGAGCATATTTATGCAGCAAAGTAAATATTTTGCTACTTTTCAGGCAATCAATATAAAAAGTTTTTAAAGCATGGCAATGTTTGATATTTATCTCTTTAATCTGCTACCTACAGGATTTTCAATGTATATTGTTGCGTGCGTACGGGTTCGTTTGAATTGAATGCACAAGTCCGATGAAAAATGGACAAAATTTATTATTATCACAACAAAAATGCTTAAATTTCCTCAGATATTCTTTCAGTTTTACAATATCTCACAGTAGTTATCTTCTAACTACTCAAACGTTCAAAGAACTTAATTCAAAACAGCTAAAGAAAGCTAATCCGCGAATTCGCTACAGTCAACAAGAGCAGTTTTCTAAACAACTCTTAAAACAAACTAACAACTACTACGAACTGAGAGGTTTTCCTCCTTTTATAAGATTTTAAAATCGCGTGCGAGAATTTTTCTAGTACTTTCTCGAAATCAAAAGAGATATTTATTATTAAATGTTACATGCACACGCTCTTGTATTTTTTCAATTTTCCGGCTTAGCTTTCTTTTAATAGTCGTCACGCGCTGCACTGCGCGGGGAATAAAACCATTTAATTTATAATTCAACTAACATTAGCTATTTAAATACCAAATCCGTAACAATATTAAAAATTTAAAAGTTACTTTATTTCTGGTTATTATTTATTTTTTACTCGGAATTTTTCTCTGATGGTCATTTCCGAATTATATTTAAGATCTTCACCGATTCACTGATTTCATGAAATAAGCATAAGAAACAAAATTATTTATAGCTTAGTAATTTAAACTCTATAAATATATCGAAATAAGAAAAATAAACAAGAAAAGAAGACTAATTATTTCATCCCCTTGTGTCCATAATAAGTTATAATTATGGGCATAAGAAGAAATAATAATTGATTTTACTGCAGTACTTTTTAACTGTTCTTTCAGTACATGATACACAGGTTTAAGGGGAAAAGTTTCTAAACCTGAAAAGATCTGTTTAAAACTTTGCAAATGTTCAGGAACACTTGAAAAAGAGTTTCATTCAGGCACTAATGAAACTATACAAGTATTCATAGATAGAAACTTTTTACAAATATTTCATATTGGCTGAATTTTACTTTTACCCATGCATACCTATCGCACAATGTTCTCAAACGCCGATAAAATTTATATTTCACTGCGAATACAGCAGAGACTTATTCATGCAATGTATGTCTTCCAGGTGCAATAAAAACTGTGATTGAATTTCAAATATTTCTAAAACACATTTCGCAGAACAATTTTACTTTTATATTTATTTCTTTATTTATTAAAACAGTTTTTATTTATTTCTTTATTTTTAGATTTAAATTTTCCCAGTTTGAACATGCAAGGAAATGAAAAGACTTTTACAGTAGGCAAGTAAATTTTACATTCTTACTAAAGTAAATTTGATACCCGTTTACATTTACACAAAAGTGGTTAATTAAAGTGAGACTTTAAGCATAATTTCTAAAAGATTTCTTGCAGTATACATGCAGCCAATATTTAATCGAAAATTTATTTAAAAAAAATATTTGCTTCTTTAACTACAATGTAGTATAAAATTTACAAATGCCAAAAATGAAATACAAAGCAACAATGGAAGGAAATGTATTATAATTTGATATAAAAAATAATAGCAATAAAAGTGCATAATGGAGTTCAAATGAAGAGAACGAGTCTAAATAAGTGGGTGGTGACGTACGTTATTCAGAATTTTATGGCTCTAGGTACCGTTGTTTTATAACAATGCGAGAAACGTACATACGTTGATACAGATTCTTCATTATTTAAGTTCTTTAAATATAATGCAGGGCTGTACTATTTGGTGGTAACAATTTGTAAAGTGAATCGCCGTTTATAATGAAACAACGCAAAATGCCAAAACGAAATTAATAGGCCTTCTTGGTAAATTGTCCCTTTGGGCTTAAAAAAACACAGCTGTTTGCATTTAAGTGAATATATAAAAATTAAATAAAGCATAAAGAATTTGGCTGTAATTAACTTCAAAGGGCAAAATGCAAAGTTTGGCAAGGCGAACTTTGTGCATGTACTTTCTTTAACTAAGATCACTGAAAAGAATTCTTACAGCGCGATAAATTCTGAGAGAAAGTTTGGTAACTAAAACCATTATTAGCCCAAAGAACGTTAGTCCAGAAGGGCTATTAATTTCGTTTTGGCATTTTGCGTCGATTCACTTTTCAAACTGTTGCCACCAAATATTACAGCCCTGTGTTATATTTAAAGAAATGAAATAATGGAGAATCTGCATAAATGTATGTACGTTTCTCGCACTATAATAAAACAAAGGTACCTAGAGCCATCAAATTTTGAATAACGTTATCAATCTTCCACCGGATATGGGCATCTGGAAGCCCGAATTTGAAATTTGTTTTATTATCTATTTCATATTTTGTCAGATATTAAAGAATTTTTGATTAACAAACACAACAGTTTCAAAGAGAGGAATGACAATACTGTACGGGGGGGGGGGAATTATCTTCAGCTCGCGAGACTGTGTATCAGAAATTCTAAATATACGCTAATTTAAAAATTATTTTGCGATACTGCCGTTGAATTGACTTTTATGATTTAAGTGGGAAGAACATGATATTTAATAAATAAAGGTAATACACAAAACGTTGAAAGAACGCCCTTTTGAGCGTTTCTGTAAAATCTGAAGGCTTTGAGATTTATTTTTCCCTTCGTTTCTGTTTGTTTAATCTATTTGAACTTAGTAGTCAACAGGATAAAAAAAACTGTAACCAATTCACCCGCCCACGTAAGTTTAAGTCGATATAGGTTCAGATTGCGATTTTGTGCAAAAACTACTAGGTAAGCGTTTTCGATAAAACACGGAAATTATTGGAAATAAACCAAAACTCAATACTCAGATAAATGCTTCTGCTCTTTTAAAGGTACATAATATTTAAAAAAAAAAATTAACTATTAAATTGACGTAAGTACGAAATTGATATGCAAATCTCGCTATATTTAGTGATGGGCTTTGTTTTAGAGATTTAACGAAATTTTAAAATTCAGTCAAATATTGTCAGAAGGATCGCCATTGGTGATAAAAAAATCTATAGTTAATTTTTTAATTATTTCTACGCATGGAAATTAGCAGCTAATTAATATACTGTTGTGTATTTTAGATGATTCATGCATATTGTTTAGAGAAAAACTTAAGAGTTCTAGCTTGAGAGACCGTCTTTTGAGAATGTTCTATGAAGAATTACTCAAAGTTCAACATTTTAATGCAATAAATCAATTCTCTTAATGTCATATTTTATGAAATTTCAACACTCGGTTTCGTTTTGCCTAATGGAATCACAGCCGTGATCATGTGTTCATACACTGTATGTAAAAGATTTGGTAGAGCTTCATTGATTAGACCTGTAACAATACAATACAGATAATCTCAGCAAATAATGGAAAATTCTTGCTTTCGTTACATCACATGAATCTGAATACTGCCTATTCTTCACCAAGTAAAAGAGCCAAAAGTATTCGAACATTTAATCACCCTCTCATAAGAAAATATTACTACACTTTATGCAAAAATTTAAACACTTAAAGCGCAGTTTATCGAATATTAAACAATTCAGATATTATCTGATTAAATATATCATATTCATTTACTGTATGATTAAATACCTTTGTTTTAGGAACCCGTTATATGGTGGTCGACTGTGGAGGTGGCACTGTAGATATCACAGTTCACGAATTACTAGATAAGCAAGGAACTTTGAAGGAACTACAGAAAGCATCAGGTGGACCGTATGGTTCAATTGGAGTAGATATGGAATTTGAAAAGCTACTATGTGACATCTTTGGAGAAAATTTTATGCAACAATTTAAATCTAAGAGGCCAATTGGTTATGTTGACCTAATGATTGCATTTGAAGCCAGGAAAAGAAATGCTAATCCATACAAAACTAACTCGCTCAATATTTCACTGCCATACTCTTTCATAGAATACTACAAGCAATACAAAGGTTCTTCGGTAAGTATGTTTTTTAAAGAATTTGATAGAAAAATTCACTTAATGAAATTCTATTTCGAAATGCAGTGAAACCTTTAAAAAAAAAAAAATGCAGTATTCAATTTTTTATATTATAATTGTTTTTGTTTGTTTTTGCTTTAAACATACTCAAATTCACTGAGAGAGTTTAAAGACACTTTGTATATTATTCGCAACAGAGCAAAAGGGATAAATTCAAAAGTGTATTAATTTAAACATTATAGGTTATGCTAGTCATAGCCTATAATGTTTCATTAAACATTATGGGCTATGACTAGCATAGGATACAACATAAGCTAAAAAAAAAAAAAAAAAAAAAAAAAAAAAAAAAAAAAAAAAAAAAAACTAACCTCAGTGGCGTAACAGTCGTAGTGGGCCAATGCCTGCAGTGCCCCGAAATCTGCATTCTTGACCGTGGGCCCCGGGGTGCGTAAGCATATAGCATAAGCTACCTAGAGCTATAAACTGTCATTATTTAAGTACGTATTAAAATTTGTTCCACAAGACTTAAATCGGACTTACAGTCCCACTTTTGGGCTGATCGAATTCGAGATCCTATTTCAAGACAAACGTGATTATCACGGGTGGAACGAGTACCAGTTTTCGGCCAAACGTGAATTCGTGGCTTGAATTTATTAATTTAGATAAAAGACTTTATATTAGGCATTAAATCTTAAACAAATCTGGCAGTAGGAGAGCTAAAGAAGTAAAATAGTTAATAGTTTGCACCATTATGCTAGGCGATTCTGTCCCAGTTTCTACAGCCTGCGCTACAAAATACTCGTAAAGCATCTCAAAATGTGGACGGTTTCGTACTTCCTTTGTACTGGTTAAACCGTCGTAACGACGTAACTTTTTCCCCTCTTATATATATAGTATGCAACGATGTGATAATTATTTATTAATTTCGTAATTATTACACTTCTGCCGAAGAGATCTCATTTGTAAACCTTCAAAATGTTTAATTTTTTATTAAAGTGGAGTTAATAAAGCATTATTTTTTATGTGTTGTTTGTTATGTACTCTTTATATTCGTGCAAGAGAGAGAATATGTAAGATAAAAATTCCAGTTTGTACAATAGTCCCTTAAACCTCCTTTTGATTTGCTTATTTAGTTTGTTCTTCTGTTCTAAAGACAGTAACATGATTATAATAAATTTTCCTGAAGTACATTACTTCAAAATTGACCGCTATCACAAAATTGCTCGAGATACTTACACAATTACAAACGTGAAACTTCTTTTAAAGTCTTTTGGGCTATAATAATATTTAGCTTGCGAATCAAACTTTACACTAATCAATATAAATAAAGGGAAACCTTAATTTTGCTATCCTCAGTTTAATTTCAATATGATGATCTATGCTAGTGGTCTGAAACTGGCGGCCCCCGTAGCAATTTTACACGGCCAGCGAATACATTTTCCGCAAACTACTTAGCATTACTATAACAAGTATTTAAAGGAAAAATATCTAAGGTTTTGCTGATTTGGAATCCGATTATATAATATTTTCAAGCGTACATAACAACGCCCTAGAAAATCTGCAAAGGGAGCTAATTAATTTACAGTGTGATATAAATCTTATTCAAAGATTTGAAGGTACAGATTTGATTAAGTTTTATTCATACTTGTCAAAACATAAAAATCCTGAGTTACGAATTTTTGCCATACGCATAATCGCTGTTTGAGAGTACAATTATTATGTGAATAATTTTTCTGCAATTGAAGATTAGTAAAAAAAGTACCTGATTGACATATGAGCATCCAAAGTCCATAATGAAGAGAGTCTCTAGTAATTTTTCTCCAAGTTTAAAAATTTTATCAAATCGAAACACCATCAGATATATATATATATATATATATCATGAGATATATATATACACCAAAGAAAAATTAAATAAATAAAAGAAAGAGGATAGGTTGTTGTTATTTATTTTCAAGTTTAGGTCCCACTTAGAAATATTTCATAATTTGTTTTTGTTTAAGTGAGTTATATAGTGCTTAATTTAACTTATCAGAATTATTGGAAATAAATGTGAGTCTTTCATATTATTTAGCGGTCAATACGTTTGAGTTACGAAGTGTAAGCAACAGAAATTTCTTGCAGATACCAAGCTTTCAGACATAAAATAAACATAAATTCTTTTACATCATTCATAACATTATTTATTTACGTTTTGATAAATATTTATACAATAAAATTAAAAACTTAGTTTTAAAAATTTTATTTTGTTAATATGACCTATCAGGTGCGTTTAGCCCGCATGCAATTTTGGTTTGAAATCACTCACGTAACTTCTTTTGCTTGCCTCTGTTTTGCTGAAGTCATGACTGCCCTTCAGTTCCCTCGACAATTACACTTCTATGAATGTGTTAAATCTGAGCGTATATTCCTGACAAGATCATAAAATTTACAGCCCACCATAATCTATTTTAATTTTACACTTGAAGACTCACACATTCGTAAAGTTCAATTGCATTATTTATGACTTAGTAGGTTGATTAGGATAAAACTCTAGTAAACAATCTATCTAAAGAGGTATTTCTAACAGAAACTGACTTTTCGTGGTGCAAGTGAGAAAAATCGTATGCAGGGAGCTATTGAATTCAGCTATTGAATTCATGTTAACTGCCTATGTTCTACAGAACTATTCAGTAGTGGACCATTGTGACTTATGGCAGAGGTTACTTCCCAAATAATAGTTCTCGGCATATTTATAAACCTGCCCCTTAAAGAAAATGCTCACATTTGCTTTTAAGAATTTTACTAAGATGCGCTATGGAAGGAGGTAATTCATAAAGATGAAACTAGTTATGGCTAGATAACTAGCTATGATTTTATTCTTAAAGTAACTTTATTACTTTTCTGAACATTTTCAATATTCCTGTTATCATATGTTATGCATGATTTCTAATATGTCGACCAGTATATAACACATTTGATTTTATTTACTCTATATAATTTTAAATATTTCCTGTAAATATTCAAACCGCAGTTAAAAAACTGCCTCATTATAATACATGGTATGAGAAGTTTATATAATAATTTTGTAAAAATTATGAAATAAATATGGTATATTGTATTTAAATGTTATAAGTGTCAATAACTACATGTTCTGTTTATAAATAATGACTTTTATAGCTTTTTAAAATACAAAATTTTAATAACCAACAAATGATCAGTTTTAATATAACTTTTTCTTTTGGGTTTTGCAATATAAAAATGATTTTATGTAAAGTATATTAAATTGTTCAGGGTATTTTATAAACCAAAATATTTCATCCTGTACAGAGAAAAAATACTTCATCACAATTAGTCATGTTCTCTTTTACTTTGCAGGTAGAATCAGCAATAAAAAAATCTAGTCATAAGAATGTTAAATGGTCACAAGGTATGTTAAGATTAGAGCCATCTGCTATGGAAGCTTTATTTCAGAAAACAGTGACAGAAATTAAAAAGCATATAGAAAGTATAGTTAATCAAGAAGACATGAACATTGACCACATTTTTCTAGTGGGTGGATTTGCAGAATCTTTAATTCTTCAAAAAGAAATAAAAGAAGCATTTTCTTCAAAGTTAAAAGTTGTTATTCCACAAGGTGTTAGCTTGGCTATACTTAAAGGTGCAGTTCTATTTGGACTAGACCCAACAACTGTAAATATCAGACGATTAAGAATGACTTATGGAGTTGGAGTGCTTCATCGTTTCATTCATGGAATTCATCCACGAGAGAAGCTTGTAATAAAAGATGGAATACAATGGTGTGCAGATGTTTTTGACAAATTTGTGGTAAATGGGCAATCTGTTGGTGTTGGTGATGTAGTGGTCAGATGTTATACACCAGCAAAAGATGGACAGTCTTGTAGTGTAATACATATATATTGCAGTGAAAAAGATAATATATATTTTATTACAGATCCTGGAGTGAAACGTTGTGCCACTCTGATCTTGGATCTTTCAGATAGTAGATATATTCAAGGAAGAGAAATTCAAACTCGAATGATGTTTGGGGACACTGAAATTAAAGTCAGTGCTTTAGATGTTACAACAGGTAAATGTGTCAAAGCAGATATAGATTTTTTGAACTACTAATGACAATTTTGTGCACCAAAAATTCATGAAATAAACTGTAAGCAGTTTACAAAATTAACTGATGCATACAGTCACTTATACAAGATTTATTTTGTATATTCAAATATATATGAATAAAAATCCTATCTATTGAATATAAAAAATTTATTTAAACAGATTAAACTCATAAAATTAAACAGCTGTTACTAGACATCTTTAAAGACTGATGGAGATATTGGCTCAAAGATAAAAAACAGATTAAATTTTCATTTAAATTATCCAAGAATGAGCTTTCAGTAACTATATATTTTCCTCTAAAGCTCTGCAATTTAAATTCTACATTATCAAATTTACTAACAGATATTTAGTTTTTAATAACTAAAATATATAACTTTGAATATGAATAGTACAATAAGGTATTTAATTATTTTAGCTTATTAAGAATGTTTAGAAAGTGTTAATTTAAAATTAGAAGACAATATTTTACATGCAGTTACAATCTACAATCAAATTTACATGCAAACATATATATCTACATATGTGTGTGTGTGTACCATTAGAGCTAGTAATTTATGATGGTATACTCAACAAATTATAAAACATAATCCATTATCACATTATCATGCATAACATCACATGTACAAATGCATAACTAACAATATCAATGCTTTAAATACAATATTATATACAAAATCATTAAACAATTAAAAATGAATAGCATATTAAAAATGAATTTATAATAACACAAACATACCATCATCTGAAAAAGTTTATATATATATATACACACACACATATAAACCACACATACATACATATAAAATATAATGAAAAAACTGTTTTTTCTAATTTAAGTACGATACTGAAACTGGCACACGCTAATAATTAAAAAATTAAAATAGTATTTGCTAAGCAATAAACTACTATGAATAAATAATCAGTTGAGGAATGAGATCAACAGTGTAATAAATGCTTTAAAAATGAAAAAAAAAAAAAAAACTGTAATAAATGGTGCAAATACAAGGTAGTGCAAATAATAAAGGAAAATATACAAAGAATTTACACCTTTTATCACACTATCATCATACATGTTGGCATATTGAGAGTAACAAATGGAACAGCTTGTTTCTGAACTAATAATGGCATAAATTTACTAAATTTAAAACTTAAATAAACAACAAAACAATTTGGCTCTCTAAGTCCAGGTATAGGATTATCAGAGATGGACTGAAAAAAAAAAAATTGTAGTTTACTGAAGTTTTAAGTTTAGTAAATTTGTCTTATGATTAATTCAGAAACATGCTCTTCCAATGGCTTCTCTTAATACCTCAACTCTCTGACAAGGATTGGCTGAGGAAATGTAAATTCTTTACAAATTATTTCCTTATCACTACAGTTTTGTTTGTACCATTTACTGCATTATTGATCTCATTTTGGGATTAGTTTATTTATTTGCAGTTTATTGCTTAGCAAATAATTTATTTTTTAGTTTTATATTAACATACACCAGTCTGAATATGAATTGGATTTAAATGTTTTTTTATTTTTCCAATATTACCATCAGTTGTTGTAACTTACAGTACATAATTGGATACTGGTCTTAGAACTACTTCATTTGCATCTATTTATCATTATTATTACACGTGTGTGTATGTAATCAATTCAAAACTTATGAGCACAACTTCTGAATAAAGAACACGTGTCATGCTGCATAACCAAAAGCATATTTTTTTTAACCTTTTCATTCACTACATCTACCTGCTAAAGAACTGCTTATTATCACATGTTGTTTCTAATTAGTTGCCATTATAATTTCCAGGGTAGATTTAGATGAACAGCCAAATTATGCTTTGCTCATTTGGCTTAAAGATAAAAATTACACTAATTTTTGCACCAAATGAAATTTAAAATCAAAATGAATCTGATAAATCTAAATAGATTCTCTTTTTCTATTTCAATGAAGACAAACAATGTCTACCTTTTGCACCCTAATTACATAGATCTGAGGTATAGCACACTTCATTATTAATCTACAAAACTAACTAACAGAACTTCAAGAATTAAAACCATTTGGCTTCCTCATAAAAGTGATTCCAGCTTTTGATTAAAACCAACATAGAAATTACATATTCTGAAGGTTAAATTTCTAGTGCTTATTATTATTATTTTGAAAAGGGAAGGGATGCATTCTGTGACCAAGTCTTTTGGATTTTACATCAAATGAATAACTTTTATTTACAGCACCTGATAATTTTAGGCTTAGGAGAAAGTTGAAAATGCTGAAAAAAATAAAAGACATCTTATAGACACTGCATGTGATTCATGAATCTATATGCAAATGCTTGCATGATTGATAGTACAAAATTTCAAACTGAAAAGACTGTAGACCAAATCATGATACTGAGAAAATCCTCCACAAATAGCATAAACACAAAACTAGTAGTTCTCATTATTTTACACTGCATATCAGTAAACTTGTCACCTAAAACAAATACAATGGTACCTCAGTAAATGTCATTAATCCATTGTTATAAAAAAAATCTTGTTATTATTATAACCCTGTTTAATCCTAAAGGAAAAAAAAGAAAAAAAAAATTCAGCGAGTGAAACACCTACTGTACGTAAATGATGTACTGTCCATGTTACTTTGTCCATGTAACTGTTTTTCTGCTATCCAGATCAAAAGCAATTTTTCGACATGCTCTACGTCTCTGATCTTTGTTTGGTAATCAATCCCCCCATCTTGACAACATTAGCTGATTTAAACTGCAGACACTATCATACTTGGCATATGGTATGCAAAAGCCAAATCCCAGATATGAAATCATACTTTTCAACAATTCCATTTCTCACCTCCGAGGTGATCCTAGAAATTTTCTTCATTGCTTGACTCATTACGTTTTCTAAAAATCATCGTTAATGGATTTATGAAAATTCAGATTTAGTGTAGGTTGTTTACCGAACATTAGCAACAGGTATAGTGACATTCATTGGTAGTTTTAGCATTATCTCAAAAGAGGTAAAGAAATGTAGTGCATACAGTCACCATTCATTGAACACATGCCATATTCCAAACAAACCACTATCTAACATTTCATTCCAAGGCATATGCAAAAAAATCATCATGTACTACAAATACTAGTCCTATGATATAGCAGAATCAATATGAATTAAAAAAAATCTACTCTTGCCCATTGTTCTGTGGGTGGTGGTCGCACTGTGAAACCACCGCGCGTCTAGGACTTTGAAACTTACTGATGTAGTAGGGAAAAATACTTACCATTTTCCGCGCGTGTTTCCAATAAATGACGAAATTTACAGATTTTAAAAAAATGTATGTAAGAATTGCATTATATATAATTTTTTTTACATTATTTTACAAAGTAAATCGTCAGAAAAAATTAAAAAATAAACATTTATGTAACTTTTCTGTAGCAGTGAAAATATAAGTACCTACATAATAAGGACATTTGGATAAATGGATTAAAAAACTTAATAAAATAAGGATAAAAAAGAACTCGGTGTTTTTTTTAAATTTCAAAGAATAAAGTTTTTTTGTGACACTGTTCAAAGCACCTTTTGTCTCTTTGGTACATGCATAGACCCACACTGCAAGTTTCGCACATACATCTTGTTCTATGAGGCTTCTTCCTTGTGCTACAAAATGTACACTGCCTGGATTTAAATTTCACTGGTATATGTCCAGCATTATTTAGTTTCTTTTCATCTGGCACATGAAATTTGTGGTTTTTTATGTTAACAGGGGGGGGGGGATTGGTCATTTTGGCTTTGTACGGATCATTCGTTTCCCATTCATACTTATTTTATTTGTATTTCGTCCCAAAATATTCAGAAAATATTTTTAATTTAATTAAAACTTTTACACAATTTCTATTTTTAGTTATAGCAAAGTATATTTACATTAAATTTAAACCACAGGAAACAATTTATAAATTCACAATACTAGCTTAGGGAGCAAGTGTGTTGAGGTCATAGAAAAGTCTCTGGAAAAGGCCTTTTTACTGGGCAGGTGCATGGATTGTTTAGTAATAAAATAACTCTGTGGTTTCAAAGCCCTTTATCTATATCCGGGTAAAAATAAACATTCCTATTTGAAAAGCAAGCAAACATTATTGAGAAGCAAACACCAGTGGTTTCAAGGCGCGACCACCGAGCCTCTAGAGGATTGTAAGCATCGTGACACAATGCTCTAGTAGCGCAGTGGTCGCGCCCTGAAACCACATAGCAAATGCCATACATATAGAGGGTTTTTTTTATATATGCAGTTTAATTACTGCAATTTTTTATTGTTTATGATAGAAATCCTGATGTGCGATGACTAACTTTTGAAATTTAAAGTTGTTTATATTAATAAAAGGAAGTTATTTTGTCTCATCGAAAACAAATTTTAAAAGGCATCCGATCTGAAGTATTAATACTTAAAACATATATGAGTCTACAGTCATTTTGTGTTATTTAGATGTAAAAGATCAGTAATAAATTCATTTTCACTCAAAAATTTCTGAAAAAAGAGGAGGGAAAAAATTCGGAAAATGGTGGTTTCAAGGCGCGACCAACCGCACATCAAAGGGTTAACCTGTGTCATTTTAAAATTAATCCATGTCATGTGATGCTGCATAATGCTCATGATGCAGATATTTACGTAATGCTTCAGTCAATAGTGGTTTCAAATTTCAAATCGAAACTAAATATTAAATGATTAAAAAAAAAGCTAATGGGGGACTTCATCTTGAAAATACTGCAGTCTTTCTCCCTTCCATTCTGATAACCTGCTTGCTCTACACTGATCCTCTATTTTTAAGACATAGAAATTACCGTATATTCTGGCATATAATGCACACACTTTATTTTAAGAAGACACCCGACAGACACATACGCGATGCTTTTAAAGACATTAATTCGATGATTTTTTCCAGACTTTAGAACAATGATATACTGAATTGACAAGTGATAAGTGGAACAATATGTGTGTGTGAGAAATGCTTGAGGGAATAAATAATTCTGAAAAGGTGGTTGGTAATATCTAATGTAGGTGTGCACAAGAACGTTATTCTAGGGTTTGAAGAAAGAGAGACATAATTTCGGGTGAGAATGCACTTCGAACCCAAATGAATTGGTGGAATTAAAAGACACTTGTTTTTTCTGAATGAATGAAAGCACAATAATTAATGCCTCATGGAAAGGAAATTATCCGATAATGAAAATTTTAAAATTCATAAGCTGCGTCTTTTTTTTAAACAAACAGCATTTAGGTACATGTAGAAATCTAATATATGTATGTTTTTTCTGAATGAATGAAACCGCAATAATTAATGCCTCATGGAAAGGAAATTATTCGATAATGAAAATTTTAAAATTCATAAGCTGCGTCATTTCTTTTAAACAAACAGCATTTAGGTACATGTAGAAATCTAATATATGTATGTTTTTCTTTCCCTTATTTTTAAATTTATCATTTTTATATCTGTCGTATAACGCCCACCTGTAAATTTCAATCTTACTTTTTGTATTAAAAGTGTGCATTATATGCTGGAATATATGTTAATTACTGTGAAGATGTAAAACAGGCACAAATATTATTAAAAATGGCATAGATTGTTCCCAGGTAATTTAAGTTAAGAATATGCTTAACAAGAATGATAAGAAATGTTAAATCAGCATGACTGCTAACATCTCTAATGCAATTACGTACTTTATACACCTCCATGTTAACAACTACTAAATTATTACATATAGATTGTGTAATAGAGTGAAAGGAAAAATGAACATTTTATTGTTATTAGTTTTCATCAGAAGGATTTTGCAGAACACAATGAAGCACTTTTAGCCACAATTACAGCAAGCAATACTTTGCAGAATGCACAGAAGAACCAACAGCCACATCTAAAATCGACATCTCAGAATATGAGAATACAGTTTGTGCTTATCTGGACAATATTTTTTAAAAGAAAACTTTCATGTGTTTGTATGCCATAAGCTATCACAATGAACATTTCTCCATTTATATATCTAAAACTTATTTAGGAAGACATTCTCATTGCAGAACTACATCAAAAGATTGTGAAAAAAGATAATGCTGCATACTTAATTCAATAAAAACAGATAATGCACACTCCTCATCAAAATTAAAGAATATTCAGAGCTATAAAACTTAACTGTAATAAAATGAAACATGATTAAAAAAATACTTGTATGTAAACATTACTTAAAACTTTTTTGCATCAAATTTTGCATTCAGTTGCAGATAAGTAACATAAATAATTATACCAATAGACATTAGAAAAAATTTTGATTGGTGAGCATATTTTTTCAAATTATCCTTTAATTCTGATAGGCAGCACAGAAATTAACCTTTTTTATAGTTTTAGAAAATGTGACAGAAACTTTCTCATAGGTCATCATATTAAGATGCATTAATGAATGCAGATTCTATACATGAATAAGAAATTATATTTAAATATTCATATTAATTAATAAATTGCAGTGTTCTTTTCTAAAAGAGATACAGTATGAAATCACCACAAAAAAAAAAAAAAAAAAAAAAAAAAAAAAAAAAAAAAAACCTTGATTTAGTGATCAGTAAAGTAATTTATATACCAGTGTTATATTTTGAAAGCTATACAAATATATTTTGATATTTAAAAATTATTGTATACTAGGCTATTAAAAATATAGAAAATATAATGCTACAGAATATGTTTTTTTCTATTTTATGCTTTATAATTTTTTTTCAGGTTGTTTTATTTGTGTAAGTACACACACACACACACATACATATATATGTAATAATAAAATTCCATAGTCAAGAATACAATTAAAATTCTAACTGTATGTTCTTTTCATGTTTAATGGCGACGTTCTCTTATTTCAAAGTACGTAGAATTAATTTCACAGCCCCGTAGTCAAGTTGTTTTTCCCGCCTTTTCTACACGTACAGTTTTAGAATGTTCTGGAAATATTTCAAGCAAACTGGATTGGCTGACGAGGCTGACGTCATTTCTTGGAAGCTCCGCCTTTCCAGAGGCTATAAAAAGATCTGCAAAAGGAATATCGGGGCTTTTTCTTAAATGTCACGATGCAATAAACTTCATACAAAAAGTTATTAGTAATTATTTTTATTTACTCCGGATATCTGATTTTTGTAACTGCTATTTCTCCTAAACAATAATAAATGTATGCTGTTTTTTAAACTTATCGTCTGATAATTTAAGCTACGACTACATCTATGATTCTTCACCAATCTATTTATTCCGGACAAAAGCTGGTACATCACATATATATACATTAAACTTCCAAACATACAACAAGAAATTTAAAGATAAAAGTTTCTTTTATTATTATAGACTTAAGGTAAAGTTCCAGTTTAAAATAATAACAAAAGGAGGCTGTAAATAATAAAAGTATATGTACGTAGTTTTTATTTCAAGTCATGATACAATATTTACTTGCATAATCTGCACACCAAAATTTTGACAATAGAAAATATGTTTACTGTCTGGGTCATAAAGTACATACTTTTCAAATATAACCTGATACTACATTATTGCTTCAAAAGAATAAAGTTAGAACAGACCAAGAAATTAAGGACAATAAAACACACAGAATTAATTTATCTATCGTAACATATAATTACTCCTTTCTTAATATTTTCTTCATTAAAATACAAATCTAGTTTATTATCTTTGTTAACATTATGCGAAAAATATAATCGCACTTTATTGAAAAGCATCAGAGAATTAAATGCAATGTTTTGCATACATTTAATAAATTGGTAAAAATAATATTACAAAATAATTTAACTTACATAATTCTTTTATGAAAATATATTATCACATTACTCATGGGTCTCCCTCAAAAATCATAGAATATATACATTTAAAGAAATTATACAACTGTGAATTAGTCAAAATCTGGTATGTCATCAAACACATAGCCTGGATATCCTCGATAGGCAAAATATGCTATTCTCACATGATAAACCCCAGGTATGAACATCAAAGCTCCAAGGATAAGCAAAGGCCAAGCTCCTTCAGTATGCTAAAAAAATTTCAAAATTAATTAATAAAATATTATGTTTTGCATCAGGGATTATACTTTACAGAAATACTTCTATGACAATATCAAAAATAGGAAATCAGTTGATAAGCTAAACAATACACACAAACAAAATATTATGAGAATCTTAATGGTTTGATAACTGAAACTGACTACAGGAATACAATAGCCTAAATGAACTTTATGAAAAGCTGCTACTGAGCTCCATTAACAAATGCATTCCTGTTTTCTAAATAACAAAGGCAGCAATTAAAGGCCCGTCCACACGAGGACGCTCCCAACGTAGTTGACGTAACTTTTTTGACGCCGGTGTAAATTCGCGTGACGCAGAAGATGTAAAACTGAGTACGCTCCTGTTCAGCTTTTTCGCCCGCGACACGCACGTATAGCCAATAGCCGACCGAGTTCTTATCACATATCAGAATCAGAAAAACTTCTTGCTTACCCGTTTCAATATGGCGTCAGAACCACACAAAGATGAGTTTTTGCTTCGAAATATCATAACTGTATACAGCAATAAAATAATCAGCATTGTTCACACCATCTTCAGATTTCTCAAACCTTATATATTGGTATAAATTTAAAATTCTCATTAAAGGGGAAAACTGTATATTTATAAAGCAATGATCCGACCAGTATATCCATATGCTTCACCTATTTATAACACCGTAAGTAATAGGAACCTAAATAAATTACAGTTTCTACGAAATCAAAGTTTCTGCCTTACAAAATTCTCCTTAATTATTATAATATTGGCTATATCATGTGTAATAAAAAGCTCTATAAATATCCCAATATTAAACACACCAAAAACTAACTTCAGCAATATAACAACTTCTAAAATAAAGCAGTTGACTGTGAAAGAGTATTCAATAAAATACAATTACGAAATTTTGGAGGAAAGTTACAACTTGTGTCATACAGCAATCATTTATTGAAGTTTAATTAAATTACCTTTGCAGCGACTTCTACTTGCTACATTATTTTTCACAAATACTGCTATCACAGATAGCTGAGTGCTCAGCGCGCTGCTTTGCAAATGGAAAGGTAGCGAGTTTGAACCTCACCCGTAGACAGTATATAATTCAGTTCGTTTTTCTCATTTTGAAACGTGTTTCTTATATTTAATCATGAATCATTATATTCTTATTTTACAAACTATTATTATTGTTTTCATTTCTTATTTTATTCATTATTGTTATTGTTTTTAATTTAGTTTAAAAATGTGCAATGCAAATAGAAATCCTTATGTAATAATATATCTGCATCTCTTTATCATATATCATCTATAAATTCTCTCATTTTACTTTATTGCATATTTTATCATGCACATAATTTCTCATAAACTGTCCAAAGTTTGAACCTCATTCTAAATTCAAAAGCAAATAAAAAGAAAAACAAAAGACCAAGGGAGGGGGGGTTAAAAAATATGAAGTTGGTTTTATTACATGGTGGATGGTGTATATAAAGAGAATTAAGTAATTTAATTCTCTTTATATATGGTATTTCAAAACAATTTTATAAATCCTAATTTTCATACAATATAGAATCTGCAAGTCTGTCAAACTGGTCGATACTCATCCTGAAGTAATTAAAAAACAAGTAATAAACAAAAAAAAAAAAAAAAAAAAAAAGTCAATTCCTACTTAGTCCAGAAAGAAAAATTAAAAAAATACAAATAAATAAAAATACAAACAATTTTTTAAAATTAAAAATTTAAAAAAGTTTAATATGTGAAAAAGCTGGATTAACATCAAGTTATTTGGATTTGAGCGTACTTGTGTTGACGGGCCGTAAGACATTTTAACAATGACTGATCAGATGGTCCTTAACTGCTTGTAAGTTCTGAACAAGCTATGGCTCAAGGATGGTAGAAGTGAGTGAAGGTTATTCATACAGTGAAGGTATACACCAACAGAAGTGGTACTGTGGTACAACTTGCCTATAAATTTAAAGCTGATGATAAGAAGATATATCACATTATATTGAGAGCAGCTGTTCAGCTGCATTAAACTCAGAGCATCTCATATTAAATTCTATTCAACATAAAGAAATTCAAATATATTCACGTGTTTCATAATGAGACTATAAATGATTCGATGGTTACCTGCATGACACTTGTTTGAATTCATAGTATGAAAAATGACTACACATAGTTCTAGTCATTCCAAATTTCCCTCAGGTGAAGATGGAATTTTGGAAGCGCCTAGCACTACAGGATAAAAACAAATCAAAGAGGAAGTGTAATGCTTTGGAATATGCATTGTTGCTAAATTCTGAATCTTGCAATTCTTTTGCAAAGTATTTTGATCTCTATCCCCTGTATCTCCTGAAATAATCATCCCTGAAAGTCAAGTACACTACTTTACAGGAATTTGACTTCCCGGAAACACTTTCTTTGAGAAGGAAACTCTGTTATAACATACAGTCTAGATTATTTTAAAAAGGCATTTGAAAAATGAGGAATAGTTATATGCATTGCTCTACCCTTGAAAATGTGCCGGAAATCCAAATGAATATCAGTGGCATGTGCAGCAACTCAGTCATTTATCATGAAATAGTTAGAAAGACCTAATGGTAATACAGTACTACCAGATATCACAAGAAACGTTCAAAAATCTTATCACATCCATACTTTGCAAAGTAAGGGATGTTTTGGCAGATTGTGGAGGTAATTTACATAATCATCATCACAATAATTAGGAAATCAAATTTCTAAGACAATATTTATTACAATCAAACATAAGAAGATAAAAACACTTAGCCACTGAATACCAAAATATGAAAAATGTATTTAAATTAGAGTTTAACACTATGACATATATTTCTAGTTCATATCTAATACACACCCTTAGTGAGACATTTGTACTACAGTGTTCTAGTGGATTAAAAAATTAAAAAAGATTAATTTTGAAATAAGCAAATGTAGTAAAAATGTACTTCTCTAAACACTAACATTTCTACCCAATTCACCAACAGATATTCACCTTTTTCATGCAGCATTTATAATGCAAGTCTATCTAACAATTTTTTCTACCACCAGTAGAAGGAAAAACAGAGAATCTAAAGAAGCCAAATGGATACAATGAAACTTATCCTTAGTGACAGCATTCCTAAAGTGATCGCATCTGAGAGTGACAAATATTTCTGAAAGTATGATTAAATAATGGAACAAAATGCATCACCAATAGTCCTGTTCTCTAAGGCAACTTCTTCTAAAGAAATCAAAAACTCTCTGGAATGTGAATAGTCATCCTAAAAATTCAATTCTTTTTAATTATACCAACGTTAACATGTACGCTTCGGAGAGAAACTGAATCACATAACAAATGATGAAATTCAAGGGTGCTCCCAAGAAATTATCATATTCTGCTGGAAGAAAAATGCAGATGGAATCAATATAGTTCAAAATTTTCTAAAATTTACTTGGTATGATATGGATCCCAATAAACTAGATGTCAATATTAATTTTATTTTATTATTATTTACAGAGAGGAGAGGTACCACAAGCATCTCACTAATATTAATTTTAGTTAAAACAGTGGCATGTTTAAAAATTATCAATAATAAATAATTTATTATATGTACAAAAATATCTTCAAAAGGTACAGTTTTGCTTGTAGTTTCGTTTCAAATGCCATTAGTAAAAGGCGACAACACAACACCCTACTGCCGCCACTGTTAGTAAAAAGGACATAAACCAATAAACCAGATGTGTTTCCTTGCACCCGTCTCTCTCCTTTGTTGCACTTCCTACTCAAGAATAACAAGTTAAATAAAGCCTTAACAACTTAAGAAATATACATGAATACAAATAAAAATATTAGAATAATAATAACTTAAAACACATATTAGTGATGAAAATTCGTGACATAACATTCCCCCACGCACCAGGGAAAAAAAAATTTTGATCATCAAAAATTTTCTTTCAAAACAAAACAAAATAGCATTTCAAAATGGTAGCAAGTTAAGTGCCACACAAATAATCAACTCAAAACTAGTTGTCACGGAGAGCAGTGATAAAAAAAATTAAAATTTACTTACAAAGCATTAAGTTTAAAAAATTAAATTCAAAACCTAATTACAACTCGTATAACCAATTAAACAGCAACATGAGTGAAGTGTCATAAAATCCAATTGCAAACCAAGTTAATTAAAGCACACAAACCAAAAATAATTAAATCATTAGTGAGGGAAAAAATACACTTTAACTTTCCAGCCAACAAACAGTGACAAAAAAAAATCCTAAATGAATTAAACACTGAACTGATCCAGAAGTTGAAACAAACAGAGAACACTCCCAAGAACGGAAAAGTGAACTTGACCGAGAAAAAAAAAATAAGCCAAAAGAATCTAGAGCGCAACTAGAAGCAAAGGGGAAAAAAATTTAGATAACTTAATGTTGAAACAAGGAAATGAAAATTTCGGACCAGCCGAAAAAATCTTTACACGCAAAGCACTATTGTGTAAAGAACTCAAAACCGAAACTAAAAGGAATTCACATAAATGCAGACAACTGCTAGACTAAACCAGTTGCAAAATACGCAGGAAAAACCTTAAATACTCTCTCAAGAAAACAAAACGAACTCTTCAAAAAAAAAATTGGAATTCAAATTCATAAACAATTCAAGATCAAACAAAAAATAAAATTCTGAAATTAGTCAACATAAATTCAACAAAAACTGAACTGAAGCAGGTTACACACACAGAGAGAATTTTCACATAAACAAGAAAGTGTCCAACAAAAAAAAAAAAAAAAAAAAATAAAAAAAAAAAAAAAAAAAAAAAAAAAAAAAAAAAAAAAAAAATTGCCACAATTTAGAAGAAAACCAAACTGCATCAAGGTTAAAAAGAAGTGAGTCACAACAAAGAACAGTTGTTATCCATAACTTTCACTGACAGGAAGAAACATAGAGCCATCAAACCGTAGAGTAAGGCAATTTAATGAACAATACTTGCAATTCAATGCATTCCCTAGACAA